GCTTGATAGGTTTGGCCTTGCAGTTGACATTCAAGGAGTGCTCGATCAAGTTTCGAGGTACACCGGGCATGTCAGCAGGTTTCCATGCGAACACATCCACTTTGCTCCTCAAGAACCTGACGAGCGTGTCTTCCTATTTGGAATCCAGGTTGGCCCCGATAAGGGCCGTTTTGCTAGGATCGCCGTCGACCAGCTGGATCACCTTGTGCTCCTTAGACTTGGTGTTCTTGCGTGGAGCCTCGAGCTGTGGGATCTCTAGGTGGTCGGCCGAGGTCTTCTTGGCGTCGAGCATGGTCTCGGCCATTAGAATAGAGAGGTCGTGAGCCTCTGCTATTTTGAAGCTGTCATCCTCGCAGGTATAAGCTGCATATACGTTGCCTCTGAGGGTTAGAACTCCTTTCTCGGTAGGCATCTTCAGCACCAGATACCTGTAATGAGGTATGGCCATGAACTTGGTGAGCGATGGTCGACCCAGGATAGCATGGTAGGTGCCGTCGAAGTCAGCGACCACGAAGTTGACGTAGTCGGTGCGGAAGTGGTCCGGGGTCCCAAATTGCACAGGTAGCGTGATCTGCCCGAGAGGTGTAGAGCTCTGTCCGGGGAGAACACCCTAGAAATGTGCCTCGTATGGCTTGAGATCCGCCTGGGTTATCTTCAGTGCTGGCAGACTATTCTTGAATAGTATATCAATGGAACTGCCGCCATCAATCAGCACCCAATCGAACTAAACCTTGTTGATACAAGGATCAAGGACCAGAGGAAAACGTCTTGGCTCAGGTATTGCGGCCCATTGGTCCTTTCTGCTGAAGGAGATCTCACGGTGAGACCAAGGAGGGAGCCGCGGATCGGCGATGAGGTTGTCGGTGTAGGCCACGTTTAAGCAGGCGTGGGCGAGCAGCTTGCGTTCTCGTTTGGTCTCGATGGACACTTTGCCTCCAATGATGGTGTGCACGTGATCAGTTGGTTTGACATACTTGTGGCGGGGATCTGCATCTTCATTGTCGTTGTCCTCGTTGCGCTGTTCCCCTGCGTCGTTAGGCTTGTCGGACGTATCCGGAGCCTGTTGACGCGCGTAGATAGACTTGAGAACGCGGCAGTTCTCCATGGTATGGTTTGACTTGGGATGGACCTGGCAGGGCCCTTTCAATGCCTTGGCGTAGTCTTCTTCATAGTTACGACGTTCGCCACCTTTTTTGACGGTGTTGACTTCACCGTCGTCTTCCCGAGCACGCTTGCCCCTGTAATCGTCACGGCGGTTACGCCGCTAATTACATTGGTCGCGGTGGTCGCGGGAGTCGTTGCGCTGGTTGTGGCGGTCAAAATTGTCGTTCCGACCACGGTTGCCTCGGTAATCGTCGAGGTGTGGGGGGTGGTCGGAGCGCGGGACCCTTGCTGCTTCTTCGATAATTATCTTTTTAGCGTCGTCGGTGTCCGCATATTTCTTAGCGGTGGCCAGGAGCGCTGTGACCGATTCAGGTCTCTTGCGGAGGATCTTGTCCCTTAGAGCGTCGTGGAAGCGGAGGCCAGTGATGAAAGCCTCGATTGCCTCGCTGTTGGAGATTGACGGAACCTTGATGCGCATCTCCGAGAAACGCCGGACGTACTCGCGCAGTGGCTCATCTTTCCGATCTCGAATCCGCTGCAGATCATATTTGTTGCCGGGTTGCTCGCAAGTGGCAATGAAGTTGTCGATGAAAGCTTGCTTGAGTTCTTGCTAGGAATCGAAGTAGTTTGCCGGCAAGCTGACCAGCCATTGGTGACCTGCATGACCAACAACGACTGGGAAGTAGTTAGACATGACATGCTCGTCAGCTATGGCTAATCTACACGCGGTTTCGTAGAGCATGACCCATAATTCGGGGTTCTCCTTGCCGTCATACTTCTGAAGTTTTTCGAGCTTGAAGTTCTTGGGCCATATGACTTGGCGAAGGTGCGGAGTAAACTGCTTCAAACCCGGTGGGCCGTGGACAGTATCATATTCCATACGGCGATAGCTTTCATGGGACGCACGATCGTTGGCTCTCTGGTTGATGCGATCGCGCAGATCACATCCTCCGAGGTAATGGCGGAGATCGTTATTGCCATCACGGCGATCTTGGTTGCCATCCAGATTAGCCCTGCGACCATGGTTTTCACGGCGATTATTGCGGTTGTCTCGGCAGTTGTGGTCCCGAACGTCGCGGCGGTCGTCCTCCCGATGGCGGTTGTTGTCCCGACCACCGTCATGGCCACCGTTTCCGCCTTGACGGTTGTCTGATGGGTCATTGTTGCGCGAGCCACGTTGGTTGGGTGGCTGTGAGCGACTTGAGTACTGGCGGCTGTGGCTTGACTCGACTGAGACGGATGGAGCCCAGGCTTGATTTACGATCTCTGCGGTCTAGGCCATAGCAGCCATCAGGTAAGCTTGTATATCGTCGCGAATTGCCTAGGTTTCTAGGGTATTGGATAGCCATTGCATTCTCGCTATAGCAATGGCCACGTTGGCGCTTGGAGTCCTGAAGACTTGTTTATCCCCCACCCTGTTGAAGGCATTGTTGAGGTCGCGTGGCTAGACCCTTATGCATCGTGCTTCTTCCGCCTCGGCTTCGATTTGTCGACGATTAAACCGATCAATATTGCGTGCTTCACGTGCCAGCCTTTCTTGCTTTGTCTCGCCGACTGCCGGTGGTTCGTCATTACTGACAACGTTGATCAAGCCTCCCTGCCTTGGTGGGAAGGACGGGAATCGCGGGTATCTCGGGGCATGGTCTGGGATATCCAGATCATATTCGATGCCTTCATCGTCGTGATTCTAGAGCTCGGTGCGAACAGAGGCATTAGATGCAGTGCCAGACGAGGAGCTTGAGCCACCCTCTTGCACTGTGTGGACCGATCCTTCTTGACAGTCCTCAATCCGGACCATGTTGACGAAGTTGTGTGGCTTTGGCCGAGGTCGGAGTACAGAACGCAGACCCGAGCAGCGTTGTATATTGTAAGCATAGTTGGAGGCAGCGTTCCGTAGGCCGTAGGGCTAGGCCTGGTAGTTCTCCATCGAGGTTTCGTATTTGGAGAGCCGGAGACCCGTCGCAGGGGCTGGCCAGCGACGAACGGAGCGCCCTTCAGGAGTAGATGTGACCACAAGATCTATACCGAGTCGTGCAGGACGACTGGGCCGAGCTGGTCGGGTAGATCTGTTGTGGGTAGCGGTTAGCTGCTCATTAGGTTGACTTTGAATTGAACTTACCAGAGCTAAGGTTTCGGCAAGTTTGGTGCCGACCCGATCGACGGAGTCAAGCAGGTCGGTGTTGTCGATCTGCTTCCCTTTGTAGCGAGGAAGCGGACGATGGGTTGTCGGTGTGGCTGAAGGCGATGCGGGCGTGGTCGAAGCCAGATCCACCGTGGTCGGAGCTAGATCCACCATGGTCGGAGCCAGATCCACCGTGGTCGGAGCCGTAGCCGATGCAGGTGAAGCAGCGGTCGACGCAGATTGAATCCGCGCCTCCTCCGTGATCATGGCGATGAAGTCGTCGGAGCCGGTGGTCCAGGTGATCTGACCGACGGTGAACGTGAGGCCGTTCGGTGTAGCCATGGAGCCGGAGATGATTACCATCTTGTTCGCTTGGAGAGCAGTACGCACACCCCCTACCTGACGCGCCACTGTCGACGAAATATAGTCGGCAGTCTACCTAGGGGTATGCTCAAGGTAGTAGATTATCGGCAGACAGATGCGCAAGCCACAAACAAGATGGTGACGCAAGACAGACACGAGGTTTTATCCAGATTCGGCCGCCAAGAAGGCGTAATACCAACGTTCTGCGTCTGATTGTATTGTTGTATGTCAATGAGAGATGTTTTTTAGAGGGATCCTCTGTCCGCCTTATATAGTCCGGGGGACAGGGTTACAGATCTGGAAACTAATCCTAGCTAGTTACAATTTCCATAGGTGGCCGGATAAGGATTCCTATTCTAACCGACCAGGATCTTGCTTGATCGCCAAATCTGTCTTGACTTCTTGCGCAGGACTCTGAACAGGTCGGCTGGGCCACGCTTCGTCTTTTAGCAGATCGGACCCTCTGATCCGGGTCGGCCCAAGCCTAGCCCTAAGGGTATAGGGGTTAATACCCCCCACAATATATATATATCACTGTGAGTTGTAGTAACACGAGTATCGTAAATGCATATTCATGTTATCGTAAATTGGTACAAACATTATAGTAAATCAAGGTGGCTATATATATATATATATATATATATATATATATAATCAAAGTGGTACAAACATTATCGTAAATCAAAGTGGTTATAGAATAAGTTATTTTATGGCCAGCTACAGAATAGCCTTACCATATATATATATGGTAAGGCTATTCTGTAGCTGGCCATAAAATAACTTATTCTATAACCACTTTGATTTACGATAATGTTTGTACCAATTTACGATAACATGAATATGCATTTACGATACTCGTGTTACTATAACTCATAGTGATATTTACCATAATATTATAGTAAATCACTAAGTAAGGAATTATTGTAGTCTAGTAAATTAGTATGGTAATTATCGTAAATCAAGGTGGCCACAGAATAAGTTATTCTATGGCCTACTGCAACAGTATATATATATATATATATATATGGTAAGGCTATTCTGCAGCTAGCCATAGTAAATCAAGGTGGCCATAGAATAAGTTATTCTATGGCCAGCTGCAACAGTAATTATATATATATATATATATATATATATGGCCACCTTGATTTACTATAATGTTTGTATCAATTTACGATAACATGAATATGCATTTACGATACTCGTGTTACTACAACTCACAGTGATATTTACCATAATGTTATAGTAAATCACTTAGTAAGAGTTACTGTAGTCTCGTAAATTAGCATAGTAACTATCGTAACTCAAAGTGACCATAGAATAAGTTATTCTATGGCTAACTGCAGAACAGTAGTTCTATATATATATATATATATATATATATATATATATATATATATATATATATATACACCTGCTGGATTTAACCATGGTTTCTTGGCTAGTTGACTAGCAACTTTCTCCTCAGCCTCGAACTCGGAGCACCATTCGTCGGTGCTAGAGTTACCTTGGATCTGGAATGGATCAGGGGTTGTTCCAAGAACAGCATGCTGGGAAATTTGTCAAGCTCGTGCGCGGGAAAGGAGAAAATCACAAGTGACGATGCTTACCTGATCCAGTGATTCTGTCGTTTCTGCTCCCATGACTCCATGGCGCCGCTTCTTGCTGACATGCTCATCGTGTTCTTGGACCTGCTCCAAAGACCGCTCCTTGCCTCTGGACTCCATCCGATCCGAGCGCAGGTTCCGCCGCAGCACGCGCTGCTGTGCCGCTTGCTCTGCCGCCGCCGCCGACGAGCGGCCTTCTCGCATACGCATGCGCTACGCGCACACAGAAATTAAATAAGAGGAGGCGGGCAGAGGGAGCCCAAGCGTCAGGAATTATTGCTGCCCCCTTATGTACATATCCCTATGGGGAATCGTGCTTTAATTTTTCATTACATTAAATATTTTGAATAAAAAAAGATGGAATCTCATTCCGGTATAAATATTAGCTACATGCTCTTCCACTAGGAGAGGGTTTGACTGTGATTGTTCTAGAGCCGTCAATGATTGGTGAACCGGCGGATCCGTTCGCAACTCATGGAAAACCCAATGTGCCGGTTGATCGATTTCGGCCCAACACACCCAAAGCCCAGCTGCCCTTACTCCTCGGTGAATGTGCCACCGTCACCGTCAACTCCTGCTACTAAATGTGACGTGGTGACTGATTGGGCCCACGGCGCACCATCACCCTACGACGTGCTATTAGGCCGGTCTCAGTGTGGAGTTTCATGGCGTTGCTTCCAATACTGCCATGTCATACCAAATGAAATGAAACTCGTATGAAACAGCTACTCTCAATGGAGAGTTTCATTCTATGGTTTCATAGACATTTAATTTCATGACTCATTGAGAGTTGGTAATCGTGCCATAAGAGTTTCATTCTTCTCTTTCTTCTTAAATACATTGTCATGTCATCAAAAATTCCTATGTGGCAACCTATTTGATGCAAATGAAACTCACATGAAACTCCCACTGAGACTAGACTCATTAACTTGCTCAGTTTTACCCAGATCTATCTTATGTACATAACATGCATGCCTCTAGAGCCAAGAGCCTATGTTATGTAGTCTTTGATCTTAAGGGGTCACTTGGGAGAGCTCCCAGGGGCTTCGGCTCCTCCAAAACGTGCACTGTTCATGCTACTGTTTATCAGAGCCATTTTTCTCTCTCTTATCCAAATAAACTGGAAGCCGGAAGGAGCCACTATTTTTGGTTCCTCCGGCTCCGGCTCCTCGACACTGTAGCATGGAGCCGGAGCCAGAAGGAGCCCGGCCAAACAGGCCCTAAGGACGGGATGGGACAAGACAGGTTATCCCACTTTGACTATCCTTAGAAATTTCACAAACTCACTCGTCCTAGCTAGGATGAGGGTTCCTCTTAGCCTAGCATGCTGACTCACGAAGAAGAGGAGGAATGGGTCAGCTTGGCACGCCCAAAAGCAGTTTGTTGCGCCTCTGGAGGTGACCATGAATCGGTCCCTTACACCATCAGAGATAGTGCCTTCGCACCGCTCCTACGCTCCCCCAAGCGGGTCATGCACAGACGTTGCCGATTTCTGGCTCAGGATGCGGGTGACGTGTGGGCTCCTATGACCGTCGGCAAGGAGGCCTCATTGTGGCTATCGAGTGCATGAGGTGTAGGTAGCATGGGAGCGGAGGTCCAAGGGCGGTGGCACCGGATGCGACAATGTAGGGGGCAGTGGTCGAGGGCATGCAACGCGGGGGAAGAGGGCCCAGGGCGTGCGAGACAACACCGGAGTCAAGATTGAGGTGTGCATGGCAGAGCAAGTGGCGGAGAGGCAAGGGTGGCAGCGCATGGGGCAATGGAGAAGAAAAGAGAAGAAGAGAAATATAAAAAATACTGACAGGTAGGCCTCATATGTTATAGTCTCATCCAACTTTCCAATGTCTTGTAACCAAACACAAGACGTGGATCGTCCCTTCACTCTCAACCAAACACGTGATGGAACCATCATATCCCTGAAAAGTCAAAACTGAGACATGTTTGTCTCATTTCACAATGTCTCCAAACCAAACAAACCAAGGATTGGGAACGCGGAGGAGGACATGCGAAATGTGGTCTTGTGCCCCTCCCCTTTCCCCTTGCCAATTGAAGAATGCATTAATCATCCACTAAATTGATAGTTAAGAGTAATATAAATATATGCATAACAAGCAACATTTTAGTACTGATCCCAAATGCATAATCTTCCTTACTTGAAGCACTCAACCCAAATGCCTCTAAGGCTAAAACAATCCATAATTTTGTCGGTGCATCTAGTGGTCCCGATATTTTCGTGACTTCGCTTTGCCCCAACACAAGTTTTTGTTGGTGCCATGCATCCTCTGACTCATCATAAAGTTGCCACCATTAGTTTTAATGGGACCAAACTAGCAAACCTCTCATAGCACACTAAAAGCCACAAAAACTTCTCAGAACATGCTTTTTAGCTTTTAGTTCATTTCTTTAGAAGCCAATTTTCCAGCTTTTTAAAAGCCCTCAACAGCTAGGTTATTTGTTTCATTTCTTCGGAAGCCAGCTTTTCAAAATTAAAGCCAGTTCAACTGTTGAGTTGTTTGTTTCAGCTTGGCTGCTAGAAGCCAGCTAAGAGCTGAACCAAAAAACGTAGTAGGCTGGTAGCTAGTGCTTGGATGTGGTGTGGTAACAAGGGAATCCCATAATAGTTAGTAGATCCTAGTTATTATAAGTTGATGTTGCTATTTACAATTCATGGATGATTTGATACATATTAGTGTTGGCAGGTGGATCAGAAAAATATAGCAATGGATCATGAAGTTAGCAACAATCCGATATACTTCCTCCATCCCTAAATAATTGTCGTTCTCGCTTTCCGAGAAATAACTTTGACTAATTTTATACAAAAATATTAATATTTATGGTACATAATTAATAGATCGTTGAATCTATTTTTATAATAAATTTATTTAGAGATACAAATGTTGCACGTATTTTCTACAAATCTAGTTAAACTTACAGCATGGAAACAAAAAACGACAGTTATTTAGGGACGGAGAGAGTATCATTTTTAATTTAGAGGCACTAGCACCCGGCACTAACAGCGCGTCCGAACGTAGTTCAGCCAACCGAACCGTGGGTTGACGTCGCAGCCCACCAACACGACAGTCCCATCTCGGCATCCCGTGTAACAGAAAAAATAAAGGGACCGAAGCGCTACCTGCCGCATAATAGAAGGAGAGAGGATGTGTTCGCGTCCGCGCTGCCATCCCGTGGCGCACCCCCACCAAGCGGGCCCAGTGGGTAGTCTAGGTAGGCCCAGGACTACCCACAAATTTAGCCCAAAATTCTATTACTACTCTTCAAAAATCCAGAAAAATTGCCCCAAACGCTCTCCTTCCAGCTTCCCCTAGTCACTCTTGTCTCAGCCCAGGCGGAAGACACCGCGAGTCCGCGTTCCTCGCCTCCCGACCCCGACGCGACGTCGGTACGAGCGACCGCTCTAGCCGCGCGCCACCCCTCCCGGCCGCCCGCCACCGGCGCGAATGCCTGCCCCACCTCGCCAGCCGGCCCACCCGTGCTCGCCCCACACCCACGGCCCCACCAGCTCCGCCAGTCCACCGGCAGCCGGCGCCGGACGTGTCTAGCCGCCGCCCGCTAGTGCCCCACGGCGACCGCTGCCATCCACTGCACCACCCTAGCCGGCTGGCTACCTGGCCCCAGCCAACGGGCCCCTGCCCTACCCCCGGTGGCTGACTGAGTAACTAGTCACTGGTAGGTGCTTCTGTAGTTCTGTTTCCAATTCCCATATCCACTTAGGTCCTGTTTGGTAGTATTTTTCAGGTATAAACCATTTTCACACATAATTTGTTGTGCACAAGGATACTACTGTATTTTTTTACACCTGAAAAATGTTGTTTGGGCAAAAGCTTCTGCCTGCATGATTGCATATGATGCGTGGTGCTTATATCTGTATTGTGCTGATCCTTCAATTATGAATGACACATCTGCAATTGTAGTTTCTTTTTTTTGTAAGACCTTATCTTATGTATGATTTATTTGAGTAAGTTTTGGACATATTTATGTAAGTTTTGAACCTTTTAAATGTATTATCGTAATTTGGTTAATTTATAGCTATGTTTGTCGAACTTTTTGTTTGGATTTTATAGTATTACACATGAAATTTTTTTACTAGGACTACCCTGGTCTTAGATCCTGGGTCCGCCACTACCCACCACAGGCCCCCGCCACACCCCCTCCACAGCATGAGAAGGCAGCAAAAAGCGAGGAGGGAGATGCAACACCCGATCTACTTTTGAAACATCCAGATACAGCACTTGCAACATACGTTTAAAGATAGATGAAACGCTTAGAACATGTGTCTAAAACATTTGCAAGAAACATATGAAACACTTGAAAACGCAACACATACGCAACATCCAGATAAAACACTTGCAACATATGTGCGAAACATATACAATATCCAGACAAACACACTTGCAACATATGTCTGAAAAAACAGATGAAACATTAGAAACAAACGCTTGCAACATACGTGTACAAGCATTGCAACATATGCAACATCTAGATCTACTTTGCAACAGCCATACAAAACACTTGCAACATACATCTAAAACATCTGAAATACTTGAAACATACGCTTGCAACATGTGTTTTCAGCGTAATGTCATCTTGCTGCTTGGACGAATAGAGCTTGTCGTTGTGGAGCTTGACACCGGTGCGGAGGTTGGCAGCGGCGCAAGGAGCTCACCGGTGTGCCAGCGGAGTGGCTGGCACTGCGTGACCTGGGCGAGCACCACCTGCGTGAGGCCGCGAGCACCCGTGGCAAGCAGGATGGCCGGGGCGAGCACTTGCGGCTAGTGCAGCGTGGATTGGGAGGAAGGCCGCATGATTGGGAGGAAGGCATCGTGGCGGGGAATGGAGCGCGGCATGCGAGATGGGGGCGCCGCGCGTCTCGCGGCGCAAGGCGGAGAGGATGACACAGTGAAGCCGCGCACCAAGCGAATGGGGGAATTTCAGTCTTTTTTCGTGGAAAATGTCATCGGATATTGATGGAGGGGAGCAGACTCGACCCGGTGCCTTGTCGGGCCCGATCACTGCGCCAAGCCTGAGAACGGGGCGTCCGCACGAACAAGTCTGGACGGACGCTTTTTAATTTGTGATTTTGTTGAATATTTAACCGAGTGCCATGTAGTGGTTTCAATTTCTTTAAAACAACTCCACCAGATCACATGTTCTATTTCCCTTAAATTTTGCTATGGGGTTTTGAAAAGAAAGCTTAACTCCTCATTCCTAAAAATAGTTGCTGCAGCAGATTGAATGAAAAAAAAAAACATCTCCTTTATCTCTCTTCAATTTTCTCTTCTCACTCTTGCCCACGGCTTGCTCTTCTCTCTCCATTGACCAGCTCTCTTTTCTCCCTCGCCTTCAACCCGCTTGGCTCGCCGGTGCGGCAGCCCACGCCCTGCGGCCTGCGCGGCTGCTGCTCGCCCAGTTGGATGCCTGCCCGCGCACCTCGGTGGCATGTGCGGCTGTGGTGCCGCCTGGCCGGCTTGCCAGCCCGGTGGGCCTGAGCGCCTGCCCGCCTTTGGTGCGGTGGCGTCCGTGTAGGCTCGGCACGGCTGTGCCATAGAGCGTAAAATGAAGCCGATTTTTTTTTTGTTTTTTAGCCTTTTTTTTAAGATTTTCACAAATACGTCCTTCATAGTATCCTTTCAAAAAATAGACCCTAACCTCGGCGCCGTGACAATTGACACCGAGCTTACACGTCTCGGCGTCAATTTCTTCGGCACCGAGGTCCAAGGTCATTTTCTGCGTGTCGTTGACGTGGCCGTCTACATAGCAGCGGACGTGGCATGAGCTTGGCGCGCCGAGATCTCGGCGCCAATTGCTCTGGCGCCGAGTTATGAAAATTGACAAATTTTAATTTTTACCATGACTTGGATATTGAGAAATATGGCTAACACTAGAGTTTTTCACCGACTTGTTTGTTTGATCACTTAAAACACTCTAAAAATACTTAAGATAAAAAATTTGTCCGACCAAGTGGAATTACAAGACGCCTGGGGCGACAAAGATCTGAGCTCGTCTCCCACAAAGACAAGCAAGGCGATCGTGGGGCTCGGCTCTATGTGTCTATTGCATTGCTAATCGAGCCGTGATCGGTGCATACAACGAACCGTCACGTGCATGTGTAGGCATGCAAGCACGGACGCAACACACCTCACCTGTAAGCACGTCATGACCTGTAAGCACGTGGAAATATAACTAAGTCTAGAATTTATGACCGTGGCTAAGTCTGATTTTTTATCGTGGCTAAGTCCAAACTTGACGAGACTTGTTTTGTTGTCATCTCCTCAGAGAGTATTCAAACTCGTAGTACGGTATCAAATTGAGTTGCTATACAAATTTGGAAGATAAAATATCGTAAACATATCAATTCACTACCGCGATATATGGGAATTAGAAAGATTTAGATGAGCCAAAACAGGCGTCACAATTCGACCATGTTAAAGACCTGATTTAGGTTTAGGTCAAAAGCAAAAGTTTGTTGTACTCAACTCAAACTACAACTTCTATTAAAAGTCAAACTTCATATCTAGAAAAGAAATTATAGTTGTACCCTGGTCAAAACAGCATCATAAAAAAAGAGTTAACTATTGATCCAACACTTACAAGCATTTTTAGGCTAGTTCATGAATATAAACCCTAGATCATTTTTTATCTTAAGTATTTCTAGACTGTTTTAAATGATCAAACAACAAATCACTGTAAAAAATCTAGAGTTAGCCATATTTCTCAATATCCAAGTCATGTTAAAAATTAAAATTTATCAGTTTCCATAGCTCGGCGCCAAGATCCACGGCGCCGAGCTCATGCCACGTCCGCGCCACGCAAGCAACCACGTCAATGACACGCAGAAAATGACCCTTAACCTCGGCGCCAAAGCAATTGGCGTCGAGACGTGTAAGCTCGGCGCCAATTGTCACAGCGCCGAGGTCAGGGTCTATTTTTTTGAAAGAATACTGGCAGGGGCGTATTTGTGAAAATCTTTCAAAAAAAGGTTGAAAAACAAAAAATTCAGAAAAATAAAGAAATGGGATTGAAAAAAAGAAAATGTCTAGACAACCCCCTGAAGTATTATACCTGGCATACTTAATCCCCTCCTACAAAACCGGTTGTTTTACACCGCGCTTGAGCTTTTTATTTGCGCGGTGTCAGATTGTATAGCACTGGGGGATTAAGTATGCAAGGTATAATACTTTAGGGGTTATCTAGACTTTTTCTATAAAAAAATTAAATCTTGTTGCTCCCCTTTATCTAAGACAAATAGCGGAGATTTTGACGGATTGAGAAAAAAAAAAGAGAAGGAAGATTGAAAAGGAGGTTTGCTGAAGCCCATTTTTTTGTCATTAACCCCTCTATTGCTGGTTATTACTTATATAGAGTAACAAGCATTTCCTCGGTCTAGAAAGACTAGAGATGCTCTTATAGACTGGCACTAGCTAAATTATTATGTCTTTCTGTCACCAGCCATATCTTGGTAGTACGTCAATACTCAATAGGATTAGGTAATGACGCGTCTCAATTTGACAAGTTACCGTACCCACTAGTAATATAATACTTAGATAAGAAATAGTTTTTTTTTCTCGAAAAGATAATGAATCCCTTGAAGTCTTCCATAGATAACACAGGCACACAGCGTCAAAATAGGTGTTTGATGAAATGCCTGTAAGGTCCGAATGTAACGACAAAACGGCAGTCATGTCGACCATGGCATCTGTACCTGTTCGTTTCGCTGAAATTTGGCTTACGCGGATACTTATGCTGATTTGTTGTAAGAGGAAAACACTGTTCGTTTGCTGAAAATTACTGCTGAAGTAGTGCTGTAGAACAGGGCAAAATTTGAACTTCCGTTGCCCTGCCAATTTGAACTTCAGTACAACCACTTTTTTTCCCAAATCCTAATTGAAATGAGAAGAGTGATCATGGATATTTGTTCGACCAATGGTAAGTGGCGATTTTCTTATTTGCTAATGTGAAGAATATTTGTTCGATCACACTTTCATTGTTTCACATTATTATTGCTAAATAACTGCATATGGTATTATGGTGTCACTTTCACAGTAGGTGAAGTGACAGCATATGGTGCTTCCCGTACTCTTCCCTACAGCTTCTGGGTAACTTCCTCATGTCCTTAGCAAATGTACACTACACAGCTAGTAGTATTCCGTATAGCATTCTGTTGCAAATGAATGGATCTTTTCTATGAGCAGGCATTGGTTCATTCAGAAAGTCAACACCCTCACATCCATATCCTCTGTAGCGCTCTCTGCTCCAAAAAGATTTCCCTTCTGCTCTCTCACCACAGTGTTCTCTACAAGAGATCCTACATGTTGTGAGAGTGAGAGCAACTATGGCTGAGCTGATGATAAGGTGTCAAGCTACCTTCTGGACCGGTACAAGGTGATGCAAGGGATAGAGAAGCAGCGTGAGATCCTGGAGCGCAGGCTGCCAGCTATCCTGGACGTCATTGAGGATGCTGAGAAGGGGGCTAGCCGAGCAGGAGCAAGTGCTTGGCTCCAAGCACTCAAGAAGGTGTCCTATGAAGCGATCGACGTCTTCGATGAGTTCAAGTATGAAGCGCTCCGGCGTGACGCCAAGAAAAAGGGACACTACAGCAAGCTCAGCATGGATGTTGTAAGCCTCTTTCCTGCTCGTAACCCCATTGTATTTCGTTACAGGATGAGCAAGAAGCTGCACAAGATTGTGCACGCCATCGAGGTCCTTGTCAAAGAGATGAATGACTTCGGATTCACTCAGAGGCAGAATGTTCCACCACCAATGCAGTGGTGGCAGACCGATAGCATTATGGTTGACTTTGAGAAGGACATCGTTAGCAGATCCAGAAATGAGGAGAAGCAGGAGATCATAAAGATATTGCTTCAACATGATGGGGGTCTCATGGTTCTTCCTATCACTGGAATGGGTGGGTCTGGGTAAGGCTACCTTTGTGCAGCTCATTTACAATGACCCTGAAGTCCAGAAGCATTTCAGTCTCCAGAGGTGGTGTTGTGTGTCAGAAGATTTTGATATTGTTAGCATTGCACGAAGCATTTGCCAGACACATGAGCAAAATCGTGAGAAATCATTGCAGGATCTCCGCAAAGAAGTAAGTGGAAACAGGTACCTAATTGTGTTGGATGATGTATGGAATCGGGATGCAGAAAAATGGGGAAAACTGATGACATGCCTTAAGCAAGGTGACAGGGGCAGTGCAATACTGACAACAACTCGTGATGCAGAAGTAGCTCGAATTATGACCACGGGTGAAACTGGACCCTATAACATTCAAAAATTGGGTAACAAGTATATCAAAGAAATTATCCAGAGCAGAGCATTCAGTGTCCAAACACCAATAAGTGATGAGCTAGATGTAACTGTGGATAAGATTGTGGACAGATGTGTTGGTTCTCCTTTGGCAGCCAAAGCATTTGGCTCTATGTTGAGTACCAAGACTAGCATACAAGAATGGAAGAACATATTACACACAAGTCACATTTGCAATGAGAAGACAGAGATTTTTCCTATACTCAAGCTCAGCTACGGTGACCTACCGTCAAACATGAAGCAGTGTTTTGCATTTTGTGCTATGTTTCCCGAAGATTATGAGATTGATGTCGAGAGTTTGATCCAATTATGGATGGCTAATGACTTTATACCCGTGCACAAACAAGATAATCCTGACATGGTAGGCAAGGAAATTTTAACCAGCTAGCTTGGAGATCATTCTTTCAAGATGTGAAGCAAACCCCAGCACCAATTGATATTTATGGAAGAAAAAACAGCTCCGTTGTAGAAAAATATGCAAGATACATGACCTTATGCATGATGTGGCTCTGTATATTATGGGAAATGAATGTGCAACCATAGTTAATAGATCCAGTGAGAATTCATTGTCAAATCCTACTACTCGCTACATGTTTATGTCATACAAATCATCTCACGGTCTTTGAATGATTTTCTGAAGAAGCAATCTCCAACTCTCCAAACATTGTAAGATTCGCAACCGGACAAACATTACACAACCATATATTTATCAAAGTGTAAGTCTCTACGGGCAATGCAAGTACGTCTAACAGAAAAGTTTCTAATTGTCGCACCCGATTTTAAGGATAAAATAGGATGGAAAATTTTTATGTGCCCGAGATTAATCACACACATAAGCCGACAAATTATAAATAGTACCATAACAAGTGTTTATTACATCACGAATAATAAGACATAGACTTCACATAAATGTAGCGGAAGTATAAAGAAAAACCTCTCACGGAAGCTCCATATCACAGGGACGTCAACTGGTTGACCACAAGTCTAGTAATCCCCACGAAAGTCGTCATTACCATAGCCATCTATTACCCATCCGGGATTTTTTTCTAAATAATAAAAATAAACAAGCGTAAGTACGTGTCGTACTCAACAAGTGTAACATAGGGTTCATGAGGCTCAAAAGGCTTGACACAAGTTTAACAACATTTAGCTTTTAGTTGTCACAATTTTAACATAAGAGTAGCAACAAGTTGTTTCAATCACAAAGTAAAACACATGATCAATGTAAATATGAATAATGAATAGCATGAACCAATAATTCTTAGTGATCATCTATTCCATAAGGGTTCAAGGTCGCTCGTGACCGTGAGCACGGCTGATATACCAGTTTTACACTCTGCAGAGATTGTACACTTTCACTGTGAGTCGTGATACCCATATGCCCGGGTTAATTACAGGGTGAATAGAGTAAGCGGACTCATTTGCGTCCTGAAGAATCGCATCTCGTATAGCCGTATCCTCAGGTACACATAATCTTTTTCCAAACCATAGAGTTCCATTATCATCCATACGAAAACCTGGTGCCTTGCCAATCACTATGTTCTCCACTATCTCTTTCAACTTCTCATCCTGTAACTGGCCCTTACGTATTTCTTGCTCCAGTGTGGGTTCTATCACCAACTCCACTGCATTAGTGACAAAGCCCAAGTTCAGTTGCTCAAATTCCGCACACAACTCACTTGACATAGCCGCCACTTGCACCTCCTTGGCAGAACTCTTCCTGCTAAGAGCATCAGCAACAACGTTCGCCTTTCTAGGATGATAGTGTACTTTCAGATCATAATCTTTAATCAACTCCAACCATCGACGTTGTCTCATATTCAGATCCGTCTGAGTGAAGATGTACTTCAGACTCTTGTGATTAGTATAGATGTCACTCTAATATCCGATAAGATAGTGCCTCTATATTTTCAGAGCATGAACCACTGCTGCTAATTCTAAATCATGAGTAGGATAGTTTAGCTCATGCTTTCTGAACTGTCGGGATGTATAGGTCACTACTCTTCCTTCTTCCATAAGAACACATCCGAGACCTTGACGAGAGGCATCACAATAGATAGAAAAGCTCATGCTCAGATCTGGCAAAATCAATACTGGGGTTGTAGTCAATCTTTTCTTCAATTCCTCAAAGTTAGCCTGGCACTTCTCAGACCACACAAACTTAGCATTTTTCTCCAACAAAGCTGTCATAGGCTTGGCAAGTTTAGAGAAACCTTCTATGAACCTCCTGTAGTATCCACAAACATGAAGCAGTGTTTTGCAATAAGAAGACAGAGATTTTTCCTATACTCAAGCTCAGCTACAATGACCTACCGTCAAACATGAAGCAGTGTTTTGCATTTTGTGCTATGTTTCCCAAAGATTATGAGATTGATGTCGAGAGTTTAATCCAATTATGGATGGCTAATTACTTTATACCCGTGCAAAAAGAAGATAATCCTGACATGGTAGGCAAGGAAATTTTTAACCAGCTAGCTTGGAGATCATTCTTTCAAGATGTGAAGCAAACCCCAGCACCAATTGATATTTATGGAAGAAGAAAACAGCTCCGTTGTAGAAAAATATGCAAGATACATGACCTTATGCATGATGTGGCTCTGTGTATTATGGGAAATTAATGTGCAACCATAGTTAATAGATCCAGTGAGAATTCATTGTCAAATCCTACTACTCGCTACATGTTTATGTCATACAAATCATCTCACAGTCTTTGAATGATTTTCTTAAGAAGCAATCACTACTACAACGTAGCGATATAGTAACACCAACTTGTGTTACTATAGGATGGAAAAAGTATTACTAGCAATCTTAGTAACGCATCTTTTTTTTGTGTTCCAATTGGACATGTTACTACAAACTGGTTTATTGTAACACATTTACTTGTCTATAGGAACATTTGTCTAGTGTTACAGCGATTTTCTGTTGTAACACATTTTTTGCTCTAGTAACACTTCATGTTATAGTAGAATGCATAGTTTGTAACACAATTACTAATTTATTGGAACATTTGCTTAGTGTTACAGTGATTGTCTACTCTACTAGAATTCACCCCTGATACAACAACCGAAATGTGTTGCAATAGGTGGAACACTCTATTGCCACATTTGTTGTTTAGTTGTTATAGGTGGAACCCTTTATTGCCAGTTGCCACACTAAATGTTTGGTTGCTATAGATATGGAATATATATTGCCAGCACCAAATGATGATACCGATAGTTTACATTGCAACACTTTATTTACTAGCATCAAACAATATTGGAACATCATTAATTTTCCAAAACAACATATGGTTAAAAAAGCATTTTGACAAAGCAATTAAACCAAAAATATGATTTGTTTACACATCTGGAATGAAACCATCCCATATCAAACTCAGCTTAGCTACACACATTGTTCAAACTTCAAACCCAAAAGGTATTTGACACACACTTGTTTGTACTTGTCCACATCAAAATCTAATGAGCTATGTCTACAACTGCAGCAAGGGTTGGCTTGAATTGACCATTCCATCACTCGAGTGCTCCACTCAAACTCTATCTTCCTGCTTAAAAAATCATTCAAGTTTGGAGAGACAGAGTGAGAAGACCATCACACTGTTCTGATGAGTCAATTCTACCACTTCGATCACGATCAAACCTCTCAAATATTGCCTGAAAAATACAAGAAACATCACTACATTAATCTATTGGGTAATTTTGTTTACATATAAGTAATGTGGTAAAGGGATCATTAAGTTGTAGGTCATCTTACTCTCTAGTTCTGAATATGGTAAAACACAAAAGTAAATTTCTTGGGTTCTAAAAGAATAGAAGCAAAAATTAGCATAATTTTATTAAGAAAAGTAGACTCTAAAGGAGACAGAAGGAAAATGTTGAATCCAATATAGGTGTACTTCACACTAATAAAAAAAAGGTAGAGAAAAGAAACATAAATTAGCACTGATCTTTAAGTTTAGATGGGAATGAACAAACACACATCTCATGGCTTGAATAAAATGGTATATGGAAATCTTGCATAAGTTATTAACTATGAGGATCATGTTAAGACTTTCAAGTTACACAGGATCTGTACCAAACTGGATCCAAACTCCAGCAAACAGGACTGCCGAAAAGGCAATTAGGAATCTCTAAGCAGTGCGGAAGCAAAGCAATAGGTGCAGATTAATCAATTCACAAATAAGCCTACTAATAAGAGGTCTAGTTAAACATGTGAAAATAATTATCAAGCTCACTAGTCCAAAGCTAATGATTGCATGAAAAGTTCAAAGACTATTGCAACACTATATATAGCTCACAAAGACATTTCACAGGAATTATGGGTGAGATGATGTACAGGCTTGAGGATTTAATACTGTGCACTTCCTAAGATTCTCCATTAATCAGTTACTGCAGTTGTGATAGATGAGAAAGCAAGCACTCTGAATTGCAGCAGCTGTTGTTGATGACCAAGCCAGGGGAGAGAATAAACACTTGATGATGCTATTGCTGAAAAAATCACTGTTAAAGATCTGAAAACCAGAGAAGAAAACTTCTAGCCAATCAAAGAAAAATAATCGAGCTGGACAGCCTGCACCAAGCTGCAGAAATAAACCGACGAGCTGAAGAAGTGAACTGCAGAGCAAAATTAGCTAAGCTGCTTTTATAGAACTGAAACCCTGAAGAAATAAAATAGTTGATTTTCTGCTATTACCGAGATGACTTGTTTTGCTCACCGAAGCCAATAGAAGACAGGAAAGTGAAAATTACAGCACCAAATGGAAATTTGATTCAATGAAAAACGGCATGGTGTCCAAGGTTTATTTGCAAGCCGTTGAAGTTAAACTGAATCTCTGAAAATTGATACAGTCGAGCCGCTGCTTCTTGTCAGTTATACAGATGAATAGAATACCACAAGGTATTGTAGCCGCTGGAAGCACAATGGAGAAGTGTGATATGGAGCAAGCTGCTGAAGCTTGAAATGAACAGAAGGACTGCAAAAACAAATTGTAGCAAGGTTAACCAAACTTTCTTAAAGCCATATCAAATCAAGAACGCTAGACTTGAGATTTAAACCACAGGTTTGCTGCATCATGGTTTCCTATAAATCATGCTTAAACAACATAAAACGACGTTTAACAATCAATCTATTTTTAAAAGCATAAAAAATAGTAGAGTAAACATGCACAAGATCACACGTGTGTTACATAAACAGAAAATCAGTAGTCAGTATGAATTTTAGGAGGATCCCACTAAGTCAACTAGGTTTACAGGAAAATGATCAATTCAAACGATCAGATTTCATATAGCACCATGAACCCCTTCCCTTGTAAGAGCATTGAGATAAGCTAAAATAGAGTTTCGGTATAGCAAATGATTTCAAATATATTGTTCTTGTCATTTTTTCGACGCC